TCCGATATCCCAGAGAGAAGTCATTCTGTTTTGATTTACACAACTGACATTGTACTGAGGTACAGATCCAGATTTGTTGCACGGTTATCATATGTGTGGGTAGCCGTGTTCAGCCGACTTGTTGCACTTCCAAAGTAATAAGTGACATTAAGGACTCCGTTCATTTGGGCTGCCATTTTCAATCAAACAGGATACGAAATAGAGTCAGATTACCGATTTCATCATTCGTATGGCTGCATCTCACTTAGCAAGCACTTTACAGCTGAAATGGTAGCACGCTTGCTGAAGGCTCAATCCGCGTTTTCCAAAATTAGGCAACTAAAACGCCTCCGTAATATGTAGCTAATCCAGAAGAATGGAGTGTGCGCCTCTGCCTTCCGATCGGTATTTGATGTTTGGATGTGGCCCAAATGGGACAGGATAGAATCCGAGCGCCACGTTTTAATACAAGTGAACACACACACAAGAAAGTCAATAAATAAGTGATGACCGCAAGTTTGAATACAGCTACACTCAGAACACTCGAAATGAATGATAGATGATAACTAGAAATATTCTTGGCATGTATGTATTTAACACTTGATCTTCTTGAAGGAGTTTTACCGTCATAAATTTGTCTATAGAAAGGCAAATGAAACAGTCACAAAATTTCGAATCGTGGATGTTCCTCCCGAGGAAATGGTTCATCTTTGCTAGCAATCCAATTCAACACAGCCCTTACTGTTTCGGGGAAATATTTAATATGCAGTTGCTTGCCAGTTATCGATCTAGAGTATCCCCTTTCGCTGTGGGTGAATAACTCGGGACAGCTAGTCAACGTAACGCTGCTGGTGGATATTGAAATTGGACAGAAATTTAATTACACTGTGCGAAGAAGAAGCATAGTGCATGAGTGGGAAGGAAACTGTGGTAAGGCAACGCGAGAGAAACAACGGAACATAATTATTTATTTCCGGAATAAATCACGATCGATTTCTTTTCTCATTCAATTACCACATTAAGATAATTTCCAAACAACTTGCGCAATTATAAGAATTCTTCGCATAGAACGTAAGTTTTTGTCACAATAACTGAGTCAAAGATTTATTTTTTCATTTCTCCTAGTTACAACTACACATTCAACAATAAAACCATGAATGTATCTATTTGTTGTTTCGTCATCTCTGCTTGAAGAGATTGGCAACACATACGTTTCGTTTACGCTGATAAATTGTGTTCGGATGTAACATGTTTGTTCTGATTGAATCATTTATTTCAAATAATAACCGATTTGAATGTAAAGCCGTGTGATATTTATGGCTAACAATCATGCATCCAAACATTCGAACTGCAAATGCATGAAATGGCAGTACTAGGTACGGTTCGTGTATGCAATTTCCATGACCGTATTCACACACACACACACACACATGAAATATGTGTTATGCTCGATTGCTGGGCTGCATGCAACACATTAATCGCTAACAGCATCTAGCTGAACTCAGCTGTGGAGAATAGCGTTGAATCTTAGAGGCTGAACTATTCAAGTTAGTGTTTCCGAACTGATTCTTATTCGATGATTTATCTTTAATCAGGTTAAAAGTAGAGTAAAAATGGAAGAAGCAGATATTTTTGGCTACCTAGTCTATTGTTTCTCTTTTTGGTTGTGTATATTGTAACTCTGTTTGGTCAGCAGTTCATACGATGCATGGAAAGGCGGTTCTTCTGAAATAATCGTAAATTTCATCACGTAGGGAGAAAATGAAACGTAAACTCAAATGCTAGGAAGACCTGGAAAGCTGTTCCAATCAGGTTTGGTCTCATCAGGACTGTACGAATCCATCGACCCAACCTGGGATCGCGAACCCGGGACCTCTCAAGTTGAATTATGCTCTAATCTGATGTGTTCTCTGTGTGCTAATCCGCGAAGGGGTTTATTCTTTATCGTGTATTGTAATAAACACGTGCAAGCAACGAAAGGCACGTTTTTCCTCCAGTGACATCGTTGTAAAAATATAAGTAATAATTTCTGCTGCCGAATGTAGATTGGTCACGATATGATTTCGTTTACTGTATTACATACATAACAGTATTTGCTTTCAATGTTTACGGGTCGCAACATGTGTACAAGGGTGAACTTGAAAAATAAATTAGCAGCGTGAGATGGTTGTCCGAACTGAAATGCACAACCGTTCATATCTCGCACCTTTTTAATTCCTACGGCCACCTGGATAGATAAAATGATTTCTCCTATCCCGACTGATGTGTTCTTTCAAATGAGCTATCAGCGCCACCTAAGTGATATGAGGTTCTTTCATCTCAGCAGTTACTACTATCTCTAATACAGTAGTGTCTACGCAGACACAGTGTTGATTGCACACGACAACTGTAACAATTATTGACCACGTAAGAGGACAACTGTCTCAAATCGCTGGAGAGCAATATGTACACTGAGTGCATCTCAGCTGGACCGCTGTTATCATCAATGTCCGTTTCGGTCACCAAGTGAGTGCTCCACTTTGTGTCCTATCATCTGACCTGAGTGCCACAATGTCACACGCAAGTCCTCGGAGATGTAAGAAGCATTTGGGGTTCTTCATCTGTCCTCTGGGCACAAAGATACTAGACAGATGGAATGTGTAATATTTTTGGCCATTGAAAGCAAGACTGGCAAATCACATTGGAACTCCATGTTTATCAAAGTTTGACTAGTTTTGGGTAAATGTGGTTCTTCGATGGACTCTTCATTGCAACCACTGAGTGATGCAGTTTTTAAGCTAGGCATTATAAAACGATCGCCCAAAATATGATTGCTCAGCGAACACTTATTGGAAAATATATGAAAGGCATTGTGAAGAAGAATAAAGTATTCAGTTGGATAGATGGATTCGCACAGCTGATGAGTTTTAACTGGTTCAACATAAAAACTGTCCAATACTTTGCACCTTTTAATTCATATATTCTTTGCTCCGTTTATGTGGCCAATTAAACACCCCTGGGAAAAGAATAAATGTAACATGAATACAGCAGCTTAAATTTATTTGTATTTTGTCATGATAAATTATCCATTTTCCATGAAATCTTTGCAGCTACTGTCGAATAAGTCTAATGAGCTCAGCTTACATGCAATTCTATGAATGTAAACGACTGTTGTTTATTAATAAATGCACAAATTCACGCATCTGTTGTGTCCAATATAAAATATCACACATTACAAATCACGCAAGATGCTTTCTTGATTTATATTTGCTTTACGGTTTTCAGAGAGGATAACAACTTTCATTGAGTTCTATATATCATCAATTTTTTTTCACAATGCTAAATGTTTAAACAGAATGGACTGAGAATAGATTCTGGCAAAGTTCATAGCCAAGAACAGGTACAGGATAGTTAGGACACAGTAACCTGAAAAGAAATTTTTGGACAGATGCCTCAGTTACTGTTTCCAGCTGCAGTAAAACTGTCACTTTGATTGAGCTGCCAAAACGTGCTATCCCAAAAAAGAAAGTGAATGAGCTGGAAAATTTTAAAATAACCGTTTCATCCTTAATCGTTTGGCTTCTCGTCAATTAAGAAAAATTGCAAAACTCAAAAAGCAGTAATTAAAGTTTATTCTGACAAAGGTATGATTAAATTATTGCATTATCTTCTGATCACAGCCTGCAATTTTCTTGAACCTGGAAAGCAATCAATCACCCGCAATTACAGGAAATCTAGGACAGTGGACAAATTGTTGAAAGACGTTATTGCGCATTTAACCACTAGCTGGAATGTGACGATAACTGATAGGTTCCTCGTTCACTGAGCAAATATCACGCATGGCAACTAACTCCCTTGAAAATTCTCGCAGAGAAGATAAACTAACAATAAAAACAAAAAAACAACTTACTGAGCGCTAGTGCCCGGGAAAGTCCCTAGGAGCGAGTAATACCAATAACCCTAATTAAAGAATAAGATGGGAGGGGGTTTGGTTTCTGTAAATGGTTACAGGTAGACCAACTCGAACTTGATTTGTGCGATCATCACCAAAATGTTTTTAATAAACTATGATTATAAGTTATGGGTTCAGCAAGGGATCAACCGTACCAGTTAATTGTGTTGATAATCCATGAGAACGTAGATGTTGAGCCGACAAAATATGAAGAGAGTCGTTGAGATTTCGGTTTTTCTATTCTTTTCTTTTCTTTATAATTCGTAGTTATTTTCCGAGAGTTCTCCTTATTGTATTGGACGAGTTGTGTTTTTTTCGTCAAACCGCGATAGAGTTATCAACAAAGCTATCCAACCGATAATAACATGAACATCACTTATACTGTGATTGTTGCCAGCGAAAAATGGTTGATTGTAGTTATACATTTCCAGGCTTGGAAAATCAACATTTATATAATGATGTATTCTTGGAATAGGTGCACTGTGCGATCGAAGTGTTTGAAGGAAGCAAATGATTATGGTGCATCAGATACTAAGTAAGGGTTCGCGTTTCGTGGGATTGCAAATCTTCATTCTCCTCGTTTAGGAACATAGGTTAATTCAACAAAACTTTAATTTTATTGGTAGACGATGGTAGATTGCTCTCACATTTCAAGGTTTAGGAACAATTTAACTGGTAAAATGTAGCGGCCAAAAGCAAATCGTGAACTTGAAGTATTGTTCTTAATGTGAATTCTCCCTTCGTTCTTCAACTGCCAGAATAATTAACTTCAATTTCTACCCACTCGCAAAGCGGGCTTATCAACTGATTTGATTGGACGGATAATTGACCAATCACTGTTACGTAATACTGCTCGTATGCGGCAGTCAAGCAAATGCGCTTTTCGTTTATTCTTGTCGATTCCTGTGGTAGAAGGCACGGCAAAACAGGGACTCAGCAATGAACCAGTCCATTCAAGAGTGAAACTGCTCGAAATTTCTGAAGCTCTATTATGTCAAATGCGAACTGGCTGAATTTCCGTTTTGACATTCCAATTGGGCGGAACCACTTTTACTTATTTCTATCACTCGCATCCAGTTTGGGAATATGGATGCTTGTTGTGACCTCCCTCGATTCGCACACTTCAAAACAGTTGTTGCGGTTGAACGAATCAACGGTCGTAGCTACTGGCGAGGATGAGATTGACGATGAAGTGACCTCAACTGCGCCAACAAACAAGACACAAAATTGTTCCCTATCACTAGCGGAATTTGTGATATACTTCTACGTGCAGACCATCATTTGTTTCATCGGTTTTGTACTGAATTTGGTCAATCTGGCTGTGTTTCGGAGACCACAGTTCTCCGGAGCTGCTTACACGTATATGACGGCTATGTCCGTCGCGGATGCCATGACCCTGTTGAATTACATGCCGGTAGGACTACTTCGGTAAGTTGAGCGCTGTTCGCCGTTTACAATAAAACCCTGACGCTATTCTCAATCTTACTATAAGTGAGTTGAATTTTATCAGGAAAATAATCATACTGAAAATATCAGCAAAGGTTTAAGCTAAAAGTTTGAATCTTTCTTGCAAATCCCTCCGGTATTAGATAATATAGATTGTCCTTCATTTCCTACCCAACCATCCCAAAATTTAACTAGGTTAGTTCAAATCATGGCTAGTTGTAAACGGAACGGTTAATGTCAACAACAATTAGGGTAGTGCTACCAAATGTCTTTTTCATTAATCCTGCTTTCATCAGACATACGATGAAGCAACCTGGTTGGTCACAAATAATTTGTCTTGGGATTGGGCTTCCTTCTGGGGGAGGGGAGAGGAGAAGTGAAGAAAAATGTGCGATTTGATGACCTAGGCCAATTTTATCATTGATTGTTTCGAGCGTGAAAGATTTCTGTCACTGATGTACATCATAGGACCTAGTTTATAATGCCTGCTGTGAGAAGCAGAAAAAAAGTGAATTATGTTCATGTATTTGGGGTGGGGTGGAGGGTTGGATGAACCTCCGAAATGATATTTCTTCTTTTTTCATTTGTCTTCATTTTATTTAATACATAATGAAACAACTTTTAGGAAGGAGAAAGTGGCTAATGAAACGGCTGTCATACAATACAAAAGACGGGAACGTTAGACAGAGTTCTTGTTGTTGTTGGTGGTGGTGGCGGTTGGAAAAATCGAAACACACTTCCTCCCGGGGTGATAATTTGGTGACACTACGACAAGGCCAACACCGCCTGCGTTTTGTCGGCACTCGTGGATCAGCAGTAGCGGAAATCAAACGTGTACGCGCACAAACACAGGTTGTATTCTGATTAGTTCCACTGAGCCTTCTTGCAACGAACCCGAAAACAGATAGACAACAATCGAGGTTCTGCGAAATATAGGCCTAATCAAAATAATTTCAATATATCTTGAAACGTCGATTAGTTGATTACACGTTTGCACGTTTGCTGATAGACAAAAATTGGACCGTCCTAAATGTGGTCCGGACACAGACACTAGTTCAGTCTCCCAATGCACGGTCAACTCGATCCAGTAGATGGATTTTACCCTTTTATTTGTTTCAAACAATATTCCATTCTTTGGAGAATGTGTTTCCTGTGAAACAGAAGAGAGAGCATTTGTGGAACGAGGTTATTGAATAAAATGTATAAAAAATGCAGAGTATAACTAACCTGCCAGTAACCAGATAGGGTTCGCAAGAAAAAATTCACAAACACAAGCGCCTACAAATAACTATTAAAACAAACAACCACACCTAATTTGTACACAGGTTTCCTCGGGATGTTGGTCGTAGTCACCGTGCAGACTCACCGGTAAAGGATCAGGCTCAAACTTCCCAAGTTGGTTGATGGGGACCCGGAAGAACAAGATGAAGTTGCAGCTAAGATATCCCAATTTTTCAGAATTTTAGTTTTTTGATTGTAGCCAGATCTAGTCCGATGATTCTGAGACGTAAAACACAGTGGCGCTTTACAACTACATCCTAATTCGTAAGAACTAATACGAGTTACTGAAAAGTGGGTTCTTATTGTGTTTTATATAACTGTTTCAGAATTAGAAATATTTTGGTCAATCTATGAATTTTCTAAACACCAATACTACTAATTTGTGGGAGTGAACGCAGGTGCAAGACTGGTTTCATTTAAATGTTTGATCCTGATTGAAAATTGAGAGCATAGTCTTATTCGTTCTGCACGATATCCGTCTAGAAATAAATACATGCGCAAAGACTTATCACGTGAACAGGTAACTAGTATGAAACCTTGTGGCAACGATTCTTGCATACTTAGTAACAAGGCGTACAGCGCTTAACATTTAATATCATTTGGGGGGGGGAGGGATTCTACCAGTGTTCATAGGGTAATATCCATTCGTCATGCCTTCAGTACAAGGTTGTTGAACACCCAAGCCGTCTGCACAGTGTTTCTAAATCGTTCTTAATTCGCTTTTTATTACCGGATAGCTGTATAATCAATTAGATTATAGATTGATTGTACTGAGCAGTCTATTTATAACACAAATGTAGACATATTGGAGGTTTATTAAATAAAATGAGTATAGTTCTAATTTTCTTTCCTGGTGAACTGCAAACTGAGTGTTATGTATTGGTTTATGTAACGTCTTCGATTCGAAACATTTTTCGCACGTACGATGAAGGAAGTGGGAAAAGACGCGGTTTCTGGGGCCTTAAATCTATTATTAGCAAAGGGATATGGAATAGAACTTGGTCAATAATATTACTTCACAGTATATGTCTGGAAGCGTAAAACATGGCTGATTTTTCCAGGCAAACTGCTTAAATAGAAAGGGACGTAAAGACTGGTAAACAAGACAGACTATCTGGATTGCCGTGCATAATGTGTATTGGATTTTCATGAAAAAGGGTTGCAACAAAGGCATGTTCAAAAATGTCCCCACTGAACAACAGCTTTTCATCACTACGACTGTTATCGAATCAATCATGGCAATATCTTACTCCAAGGACGTGTACATTTTGCTAACCAAACGGAGTTGAAAAAGGAATCTGATTTTATTAAATTGTACTTTAAATTCCTATAGAAAGATGCTGTGTGTGGTGCATTGGTTGAAAAAAATGTTTCATTGTTAATTATGATTAAACATACAATGAATAGAATAAATTACAAAATGAGTCGTATTGCGAAACAACTGATACTATGAATTTTTGTGTATTTAGGAACGGGTGTACGTGTCCTGTTATAGTATTCAATTGCTAGGGGTTCCTCGTTAAATGTTTCACTTAAAATAAAATCAATGTGACTATCCCGGAGGTATTTATACGTCACTTGTGAAAGATAGATTCAACACACTTTGTGATTATGAGTTTTTGAAATTCCAGAAACTGTCACAGGTGAGGTGAATGCAGTTAAAAATCGCTTCCCAATTCACAAGTGATTATTGAGTCAACAGCTGTTTGATGAAGCGTATTGGGGTGTAAAATAGAGAACTAAACATGGACACGAACAGATAGGAACGGCAAAGCCAATATGGATGTGATAGATGCTAAACTCTGAGACAGGAAATTATAAATCAACAGCAATCACTCAAAGTGACGACGGTGAACACATCGATAAGAGAATACGAAGTAAGGTCTCGGAAACGCAACCTCTTTAATTTGTCGTAGAACATTTGCACAATCCAGCGAATCCACGGTTGGAAAGTGGGGCAAATGTAGATGGAATGCAGATTCGTGCTTTCATGTGGCAAACTTTAATGAGGTCAAGGGCGTGGAAGAAAACCATAAGCATTATGTGAGTGCATACAGAAAAATCACTTCTCCGCACCCTAGATGAAATAACATAGAGAGGAAGAAGGGACCTGGTGTGTGTGTGTGTGTAGCTGAAACACATCTCTGAATGATCGGATACTAGGATTTAGTCTCACATTTCAAACACAATGTTCACTGAATGAATATAAACTAAAGGTGGATTCATTCATTTGGTAATCTTTCAAACAGACTTCGAAGAGTTTACCGTGGGGTTTTACGTGAAGCACAGCAGTCCATAGTGCCCTTCCCAAATTATATATTCTCGTATTCGTAATAGACATTCACGGTTCAGGTACCTTGAGAAAACGATATTCATCATCGNCACCGAAATCTCACTTTCCCAGGACAACTGACTTTACTTAAAAAACATCGCCAGATCACCACTAGAGATGAGCGCAACATTCTACGGATAACTGAACCTTTTTTAAGCCATTTGAATGAATTACCATTATGGTGTTTCTTTCAAAAATACCAAGGTCACATAACCGTCCACACAAAAAGTGTTCCTCATGGCATTTGAAAACTCAGTGAACAACTTTGCCTAAAATATCAGTGTGAGTATAGTCAGCATGCCTAGTATTACAGAGTGACTGATCGTCCCAGATGATGAATAAAGTTGAGTAACCGGAACTTCGTAATCAACCAAAATAAGAGACCTAAAACCACCATCGAAAATGAAATACGCATTTTAAATAACACGGTCTTTTGCGACCCGCGTCGATTCACTATATCAAGAACGAAAAAAATTGAACTAGAAACCTTTATGAGAGAGAAAGCAACTTAACATGGTGTATTTCAAATCTAGGCCGTTAGATTTCGATTGACAAAGCAATTTGGACAATGTCATGCGCCATTCATGCCAGTCCGCATCTGTGAAAAGGTTGCCCGGACCTGGCTCAATTCAGCAGCACCCATTTCCAGTGAATTGCAGCGTTCGCACTTTGACAGAACACGTCACACGTATCACTTTTCATCAGGATACCAGCACGTCTCGCTTCGGGCATTGTCAAAGGGATTTTTATTCATTTAAATAGTGTTAGATAAATAAGCCGACATTATGCTGTGTACTTTACTGTTCACTATTCGAGAGCAAAATTCACATCCGGAACTTTCATTTGAACATCAAGGGTCTACATCAACTGCTCGTTGGCGTTTGTCTTAATTAAAATAGACTTACCGGTTGAGTTGTGATATTTTGTCCCGTAGTTCAAAAATGAAACATTTTACAGCACACAATATCAAATTTTCTGTTTACTTTGTTGTTTGGCACATTGAAGTCTTATATTGCCAAACAACAATGTAAACAGTGAACCTTGCCTTAGAAGTTCATTCGGTGAACTCCGGTGAACTCTAAGGTAAACCTGTCGGGACAGTCAGCTTACATGCTAACTGGTGAATGCCATATGCCTCTGTAAGTTGGTTGGATGGGTAATTTGAATGTGAAAGAATCAGTGCTATCGGTGTGACCTCGTAGCTCAGCTAGCAGAGTGTGCGCTAAGTAAAGGCGTAGGTGGTGTTCATGCGTAGGTTCGAATCCCACCGAAGCTACTGAACTTTTCACAATTCCAAAGTCAAATTTTCTGGTTTAATTATATGAAACAAATATTTTTATAGCTCATTGTGCGGTTGCACAAACTTCAA